AGGATAGTTCATCGTCCTAGTAATCATTTCTTCCCGATCGACTTAATATCTATTTCGCCGAGAAGTTCCGACATCCTCATCCGACATGGTTTGACTTGGTCCTTACCATGCAAAAATTGTTATGCTATGTAAAGGAACTTTTTCCTTAGTCAACCGTCAGATGAAATTCTTCTAACCCATAACGCAGACCTTTATATCATCTCTCACTTCAAAACTTCAGAAGTACCCATGCGAGGGGTACCACGCCTTTTTAACCTACCCATTAGTCAATAGCGTTGAAGCAAAAAGCACCAGAGAAGTCTCAGAAGTCAGTAAACACCTGGAGTATACCCAATAGATCTCCGAGAAGGACCACTCGTACCGCATGTCAAGTTCAAGAATAGGGACTAAGAACACATTAGGTTAATCTATCGTTGCTGAGTGTATACGCGAGAGTAGTACATAATTTAGACTCAACAAGATTTAGGATGTGTGATTCCGCCCTATCTCCTGTTCCTTGTCTGGTTGGGGACTTGGGGCAGAGCCACTCATCCGAACGTTTTGTCAATCTAAATTATATACAACTTGTATACACGAGGTGATGGTGGATGACCTAAGTATGGGTCTTATCATGAACTTCAGGGCAAAAACCCGCAGGATTACTACAACAACCGGAGATACCCGAGTGGAAGTGGTAGCGGATTACAATGAGCTTCATAATCAAGTTAACCAAGGCAACAGGTGGACTTGATGCCATATTGGGTGATCGTCGTCAGATTAGCCAAATCCGCACCCTTCCTACAATTTTAAGGAAACAGGAAAAACAAAGAAGTTAACTAAAACGTGTGTCCGAGAAATTAGTTAGACTGCACGGTGTTCCAATATCTGTTATCTCCGTCTGAGATAGTAGAACCATCTCCCAGTTCAGCCAGTCACCTCATAAATTTTTGGGAACTAGGCCAGTCATGATGCATAGCCTACCATCCTTAAACCAACATACATAACGAGAGAACGATTCAATCATTAGAAGTTGTGCGGAGAGCCTATGTAATCGACTTTGGTAGAGCGAGAATACCCACTTATCAACTAGTCGAGTCCTTGACAATACTAGCATTTAAAGTTGCTCCATTCGAAACCCTCTTTGGTCGCAAGTGCAGATCCTCTCTGCACTGGATTAAAGTAGGCGACACACAACTAGCTAGAGGTTCAATTTCTAGACGGCACCTTCGCTGGTCTGGAAATTCATCCGAGAAACTACCGAAAAAAGAGTACAAATCCAGGAGCGACGGGAAGCTCCCAGGGTCAGGCAGAAAAGCTACGTCTTCGATAAGAGAAAACCCTTGGAATTCCAGGCTGGTGACCACGTCAAGTGAAGGTCTCACCCTGGAAGGGCATGATACGCTTCAGAAAGCATGGAATACCAAATCCAAGGTACACAATATCATTTGAAATTCTTACTAGAGTTGATCCAGTAGCTTATAGACCCCGACTACCTCGGTAATCCAATAACATACACCCTACTTTCCACGTCTTTAACTTGAAAACTGGTTGTCTGATGAGACTTTTTTCCATCCCACTCGCTTCGATCGGGGTAAGCGAGAACCTCAACTTTGTGGAAGAATCCGTATAAATCCTAGACAGCGAAGTCGTTAGGACTAATCAGATCTGTATCCCGATAGTGAGAGTCCGCTTAAAGTGCATAGCGAGGACCCAATTTCACTTGGGGTTGAGAGGATCATTAGAAACGTAAGTATCCACACCTTTCACCTTCGTCCATGTATATTCCTTAAACTTAATTTCGGGACGAAATTCCCTTTAACAGGGGGATGATGTGACAACCCGAAATTTCTATCTTGTAAAGTCAATCAATTCAATCAAAAGTCAGACGTGTTTCTGTTACCTTTTAGCCTTGTTAAGGGTCTGTTTGAGAGTTTCTAAGCCTAATACACTCAAGGATTGGGTGTTAGGAAGTGTTAGCTTGAGATCATTGAGTTGCAATCGAGCCGGAAACACCATCAAAAGAGTTCACGACCACATCTAGGTTCACGGCCGTGAACCCATCCTTGGCCGTGAACAACTCTTATATATATATATATATATATATATATATATATATATATATATATATATATATATATATATATATATATATATATAAAGTTGGCTCATTTTTCTTCACTTCTTCAAACTCTAGCCGTGAACATCACTTCTCTCTCAACTATCTTCAACCGTGAACACTTCTAAAGGCTTCCAAAACGTAAGTATCTCATCCATATTCTTGTTGTCCCTTAGAAACACTTGATTCCACCCTTGATTACAACACCTGTTTGCAAGATTCTTCAAGAGTTCACGGCCGTGAACCCTTCATAGGATCAAGCTTGGGCCGTGAACACATCATGTGTTCTTAGGCCGTGAACCCTCCGAAGGCCGTGAACTCCTAGAGTTTGGCCGTGAACACCTTTCAACCAATCATTTGTGATTCTAACACTTCATTGAAAGTGTTTCCTAGTTACTAATGTTGTTTCCCTTACATGTAAGTGTTATATACACTAATTGTATACATATATGTGTTATTATATGCTTAATAGGATCTGTTTGTGCTCAAGACTTCACTTAGCATACTTAGCATCCTAGATCGATCTTTAATTCGAATCACTCACTACAGGTGAGTTCATACCCCTAGAAATATACTTTTAAATGCTTTTAGGGGGGGGGGAATACAAGTAGAACACAATGAAATTGTGTTAACCATTTACATGTGAAAACAACATCCAAAAGGATTTCTTATACTCAAAACTTGTTAAAACTCTTTTAAAGCTTTTATAAATTTCTTTTATATCAAATCATATTCGTCTATCTATTTACGTATAAGTATGCTTTAACAGACTTAGGACTATTGCTAGATACCTTGACTCCTGTTTCTTGTTTGGTTGTGGGCTTGGGGTAGGATCACTAGTCCGAATGTTGGTTAAATCATAGTTATACTTATTAAATACATATATGAATATTAAACCCATTTTTAAGGATTATACTTAACTTAGTTGCTTGGTGAGTAATTGAGTCTTTTCTATAAATCAGTAACAGTCAAACAATCATACTAGTAAACTATAATAGATATAGTTTAGAGGATTACTACTTACTATTTCTCGAACAGTGAAACTTAAAATGAATCAGTACTTACATGAGTCAGTTCATACATGAGTCAGTTCTTACATACTATAACTAGAACAGAATGGAACATACATACTATAACTAGAACAGAAAGGAACATACATACTATAACAAGAACAGAAAGGAACATACATACTATAACAAGAACTAGATATCAATAATGTGAAACTACTACTTCACGACATAGCAATATACTTGTTATGTCGCATTTTGTAACCAGAGTCTCCTGGAGGGAGAGCGGACATTGTGTGTATAGATCTATACGGGACTGACAATCTCACATCCTAACTGTTAGCTACAGTCTGGCAGACAAGCCAAGGGGTGACAAATGTCACATTAGTTTCGACGCCAACAGGTCCTCGTGTTAAATACTAGTCAGTCAGCATGGTTATAACCACATAAGATTTTAACCTTAATTAACAATTTGGTTTTAAGTTAGTTAGTGCTACAGTAGTTAGTTTATACAACACTACTGTACACTTTCATTTTCCATTACATTCATGCAGTGATAATCTCACTTTGAGAAATGCAAACTATTTTCTAGTAAAAGATAGTCATAAACTTGGAAAAACATACACTTTTACAAGAAAACAAACATACAAACCAGTTGAGTCTTGGTAGAAGGCTACTTTTCATTTTAGTAGAAAATATAGGATTTTCTAGGAAGTATACAAACATTTACATCAAAACACTTACAAACATTTTCATGAAACAAATGCAAACTATTGACACTAAAATACTTATGAACTCACCAGCTTAAATGTTGATCTACTCTTTCAAAATAACTTGTATTCTCAGGTCACCGGTAGACAGGTACAGATGACCAAGTTTTGAGAAGACGGAGCATATTCAAGACTCGTCTTTATTTTGATTATATATTTTTTATGTCTTACAAACTTTACACAGAACACACTTGTATTAACTATATTATTAATGCAATGAATGATGTTGTTGCTTGTTTTACTATTGTGCATTGTTATGATACTGAACATGACGTCCTCCGCCCCCGAACGTTTCCGCCGTTCTGGTTTGGGGGTGTGACACAAAACGTTTGTGGTTTGTGTTTTTGTATTAATCCATGACCACATCAACCAAATCGATTTCGTCTTTGTGTACATTGTTTATAAAAAAGTTATAAATTTCATCGAACTCGCAACATTTAACCCTCGTATCTCGCCACTTCAAACATACGTCATCAAGATTTCGACTTGGACAACCCATTAAGCCATAGAAAACGCTTTGAACTTTCCCCAAAAAATCACTAGATATTTGACCATCTTTGTCTTCCGAAACGATCACCCATGCTTGTGCTAGTTTCTCTTCTGACCGATTCATCATTTTAGGAGCCATGGTTTTTGAAAGATTAAGCAACACAAATGTATGAATGTGAATAAAAGGAGATAAAAATTGTGTGAAATATAAGAAAATTTGTAGTTGTATATATATAGCTAAAAACTTAAATAAATTAAAAAAAATTTCGAAATAGCCGTTATACATGGTCAAAGAATAGTCAAATAACAAATAAATGTGATTGGACGTTGCCACTCGTCTTTGGCTTCACGAACCACAACGATCGCGAACTATCACGAGGGTTCGGTTTGGTGTGCACGAACCACGCTCGTGGCCACCTAGACCACAAAGCACTTCATGGTAAGACGAAAGGTCTAACATAGAAACTATTGCCATCTATAGTTTTATAGAAATTCATTAAATTGTTATTGTTATTTTAATATTTAAAACGTTTTTCTTAATATAAAACAAAATAACGACTTTATCAATTGGAACAAATATTAGTACTAGCTTGTCACGATGAGTTATTATGTGAATTAGTTAAATATTCAATGTATTTGTATTTATATTACAATGCAAATCATCAAAAATAATAAAATTATGCCACAGGTGCATAAAATATTTAGTAACGATTGTTTGGTCAATTACAGATAATACGAATTATCTTTTAATTAACTTTTTTTTTTCTTTTTTTTATATAAAGGTCAAAAGGGTCGTGGGGACATCAAAACGTGGAAATCCTACTCCCACTGGCCAAACAGATCCCAATCGAATTCAAGACACAATAATTGAGCTGTGTGTGTAAACCAAGAAATGGGGAAGAAAGCGGTGTTGATTGGATGCAACTACGCCGGAACCAAGGCGGAGCTCAGGGGATGCATCAATGATGTCAAGAGAATGTATCGTTGTCTGGTTGACCGTTACGGATTCTCCGAAGACGATATCAAAGTCCTTATCGATGCAGACGACTCCTATACCCAGCCTACCGGCCGTAACATCCGCCAAGCGCTCGATGAACTCGTACAATCGGCGGAGCCTGGCGACTTCCTCGTTGTTCATTACAGCGGACACGGTACTCGCCTTCCCGCAGAGACCGGTGACGATGACGATACCGGATATGACGAGTGTATAGTTCCCAGCGACTTCAACCTAATTAACGGTATGATACTTGCTTCGATTGATGTTCTTGCGATTGATTAGAATTTGATCTTTATTTTAGCGAATTATATCTCGAAATCACTGGATTTAGGAATTTTTATGAGTGATTTAGTAGTTTGACTTCAAGTTTTAACAAATGGTTAAAACAAAGTTCTTCCGATTATCTCGCGACCTGTTCTAAATTCTAGGCATTCATATTTATCGTGCGTCTATCATCGATTCTCAAATGCATTATGTGGATGAAAGTCCTTAGAAACTATCTTCAATTTTTATAAATCTGAAAACATTACCATGACCAGGACAGGAACTCCGGGATCATGCCTAAAAATTGTTTTTGTTCTGGGTTACTTTTACTTTTGCAATTACTAGATCTGTATGAATTCATTAACACTGTATTATTTAGTAACGATATTGAATTTAGGGAATTCACTTATGATAACCATAATCGTGTTGTATTCTTGCGCGTGATTACAGATGACGACTTCAGGGACCTTGTGGATAGAGTCCCCCATGGTTGCAGAATCACCATTATATCAGATTCATGCCACAGTGGCGGACTAATCGATGAGGCTAAAGAACAGATCGGTGAGAGCTACAAAAACGATCCAGAAGAACACGAAGGAAGCGGATCAGGCTTTAAACTAAGTAGCTTTTTGCATAAAACCGCAGAAGGTGCACTACAATCCCGGGGCATTCACATCCCTTCTGCATTCCGCCATAAGAATCGCGAGGAAGAAGAGGAAGTAGAAGAAGAAGTAGCTTATGAAGGCGATGATGAAGTGAAGAACAAATCTTTGCCTCTTTCAACCCTAATCGAAATACTCAAGCAAAAAACCGGGAGAGACGATATAGATGTCGGGAAAGTGAGACCAACATTGTTTGATATATTTGGTGAGGATTCCAGTCCAAAGGTGAAGAAGTTCATGAAAGTCCTCTTAGACAGGTTCCAAGGTAACAACAGCGGCGAAGACGGCGGCAGTGGTGGTGGGTTTTTTGGAATGGTCGGAGGTCTGGCTCAGGAATTCCTAAAGCAAAAACTGGAAAACGACTCGGATTACGCAAAACCTGCCATGGAAACAGGGGTTGGAAGGAAGGAAGAAGCCTACGCCGGATCTAAGAAAAAGGAGATGCCGGAAAACGGAATTCTGATCAGCGGTTGCCAGACCCATGAGACGTCGGCGGATGCCACCCCGTCTGGAAATAAGGATCAGGCTTACGGAGCTCTTAGCAATGCGATTCAGACGATTATTGAGGAATCTGATGGTAGTGTTAGTAATTATGATCTGGTGACAAAAGCAAGGAAGTTGTTGAAGAAACAGGGGTTTACTCAACACCCAGGTCTTTATTGCGATGATAATCATGTCAGGGCTTCTTTTTTGTGCTAAGCTGTGGCGCTATAGATCGAGATCTGTTATTATGATATTTGTGAATTGTGAGGTAAACTTTTCTTTTTGGTGTGTTTTAACTTTTTACTTTTTCGTGGTGGGTTTTTGGGAAATAAATTTGGATCAAGTTTGTGGATTTGAGTTGTATTGTGTAAGTTACGTTTTTAAAATTTTATAATGTAAACTTTGTTATGTTCCTTTTTTTTTGGTATAAATCCGTATAAGAACTAAGAAGTGCGTACTTGGAAATATGGTCTAAACTTCTTGAATAAGAAATGAAAAAGTTATTCACTAAATTAAATTTTAAAATGGTAGACCAAAGTGCTGATAAACCCAGATCGTCTCCACCTTCTCACCACAACCATCGTTAGCCTCCTTTGTACATGTACATGCCACCGCAATCTCAATTCCCTCATTTTTTTTGTAGACGTTGTCACTCCCAACATATTTTTGATTGCAACATGTGGTATTTTGTCCAATAAAGTCCTACCTCCAACATGTCCACCTGCAACTTTTATCTTCCTCTCATGGTCATTCTTATCGACCAACATTCAGATCCATACAACATAGTTGGTGTAGCTACCACCGTATAAAAAAAATTCTTTCAGTTTAAGTGAGATCTTCTTTTCCCTGTGGCCGCCATTGACTTCAACGAACCGTACACACAGTGGGTACAGTGACTCAACACTTCCTTCCTTCCATTAACATTGTATGAAAGGTATGATAACCCCTTTTCTTCCAACGTCGTCCTCCTCCAAGTATCCGACCCAACATTTATATTTGTCCTACTCTCTACAACCTACACAATGCCGCAAAAAACATACGCCAAGACACCCCTTGAATCTCATGGGACGTCTCTTCCAAGATCAAAGTGAAGATATACAGACTTAGAGCCAAACACCGATGTAGCCCAATTTTCAGCTGGAAAGACTCTGAGTTCGTACATAGGTCCTCCAAACCGAGAAACAAACTCATACGCCGTCTCAATATTTCTCCCTATATATTTCTCTGTAAAGTGTTTACTCTATCGTCGACCTCCGTGACACGAAACCAAATTGATTTTTTTTTTTTATTTGGCTTCAACATGTCACCGTTGGAGAAAGCCACATGAAGATAGGAGGAAGAAAGGAGAATTCTTTATAAAGAAAGAAAGACACATTTTTTTATTAATCAATCACACAAAGATCACACACACACACACACACACATATATATATATATATATATATATATATATATATATATATATATATATATATATATATATTGGCTTAGGTTATTCTATTCAAAGTAATTATTATGTTATTGTATGCATAAATGTGGGCCAATCATTTTACTTATTTTAAGAAAGTGATTAATACATATTATTAAATTAAAGATAATTGAAAAATACCATCTAATTTCATTCTAAGGGTATTTTAGACAATTGAGATAAATTTAAAAAAGGAAAATTCCATATTTTTTGGGATAATTAACTCTCTTGATTTTAAAATTCTAATTTTTTTTAATTACTTTAATACTAATTATAACGTAATTTTTATAATTAAACCCGATTTTATTCTATTAGAATGACATTCTGTTAGAATCATATTCTCTAGGAATTTCAGGATACATATTTCTATTAGAATGATATTCTATGAGAATGCCAACACGAACTAATAACAAATTTTTGGATACAACTTCAAATTTTTCATTACATTCTTAAAAAAGTAAAAACTTTATATAATAGTCTATGACAATGAAATACTCACTAATAACAAACAAAACCATGTATATTATTCGACCTGAATATTCTAGCAGAATATATTATTACATATACTCCTATCATTCTATTGTAGATTATTCTATCAGAAGAATAGCTCTTTCCTTTGTGAAGACATGTGACAATTGTTCAGCCATCATCTAATCTTCAAGCCCTTGATCATCAATGAAATTAGACATTTTACGAAAATAACTACCATGAATCAAATCATGTAAGAATAATATTCTCTGAGAATGCTTTTACATGACAAATAAATAACACAAAAATTTAGTAAATCTGACAGAATGAATAGCACATGGTCTGGTCAGATTATTTTTCAGGAACTTCCACAAACACCTGTCATGCATCATAATAAGCTCTATGACAAATTTCACCAAAAGATTGTTAATTTGCAAATTCTACCAGACCTGAAGTGAAAATAACATGATTTGCAAGTATGTAAGCTACCTTGCTTCTATGATTCAATAGTAGGCTACAAAACTTCATAATATATCTTAATCAAATCATATGCTGCAATCATCTCCCCTTTCCCTGAATACATGTTCTAAATGATACAACTTTTTTGGATTTCTTACATCTTTCTTCTTTCCCTAATCATAGCCGAAACAGGACTTTCCAACACCAACTGACCAGCAAACTGCATTTTTTAGCCATGCTTTACTTTAAGATTTACATTTTCAAGAGTTGGATGTTCAAAACAGAAGATGACACAAAAAAGAAAACCCACCAAATAGAAGTAGTGAATATATTCAAAGTGAATAATTCTTGAAATCCATTTAACCCATACCCTGTGTACCTTTATGATTTTGACGAAGGAGTGAAAATTAGAAACATAGAAACAAATATGATGACTTCTGGCAAGGATCCGTGGGTCTGCGACAACAGATGTTGGAGAACCAAGAAATGGCATACATAAACCCAAATTGAATATCCGTTTCTTTCTTTTTTCAGAATACATCGATTTTGGTAGAAAAAATCTTCAAAAAGAACTAAAATGAAAGAGCGACAAAAGAATTTGTACAAAAACGTATTATCAGAATCAAACCAATTCTTTCTTACCTCCAACAAATCCGATTCTTTGTTACTCTTCATCAATCTGAAACAGAATAAATATAGTTTCCTTTAGATTGCTCTGATTCCTCATATGTTGATATGTCTATTTTCCCCCTTCACACATCACCATCAGATCAGGAAGAGGGCTTCACGGATTCTTCCCACCTTTACTGCTTCGGCCTCGTCGATTCCGGAGACGACTTCCTCGCAAATCGATCGACCAAATGCGACCCTTTGCACCACCTTATCGCGTTCGTGTTTCCCTCTCACTGTATTCCATTCGTCTGCATTCTTCCATCTTTGCCCAATCTGTTAGTCAGGTGATGAACACGGGGGAAATAAAGCCTTTCTTTTTGTTTCAGTTCATTCTTTCTGATGGAAGACATCGATGACGGCTGTACATAAGAAAAGAAATTAGGTTAAAATTGAATGCTAGCATGATTATAGGGATTATTTGTGGAAGCTATTTATCAAATTACTAAAATACCCTTGTTTATTTATTTAATTATTTAATTTTTTTATTTAAATTTGATTGGCCCACATTTATGCATACAATAACACAATAATTACTTTGAATACCTGAAACTAGCTCTCTCTCTCTCTCTCCCTCTCTCTCTCTCTCTCTATATATATATATATATATATATATATATATATATATATATATATATATATATATATATATATAACATGAAAGTTACATCTGAACCAACACAATTGTTGGTGACCAATCATGATGGTTGATGATTAACCATAAAAAAATAACGGTTCTAACAGTAACTTCATTCCTAAATGTAACTGCCTTCTTAACAATATTAGTTACTTCTTAAAATTCCTAAACTAACCTAGGTCTAGATTACATTTCAACATTCCCCCTTAATCTAGACTATTTTTTTTAATTGAAACAATAGTGTATCCGATGGTTCTTAGATGGTTCTTATGTTGTTACCCATATAGTCGAAGAAAATCACCATCTTTTCATTCCTGCAGCAAATAAGCAAACATTACCTCTTGTTGAAAGCCATGTCCCTTCTTGTATGTACTTTCCCAAAAATAAGCATAGGAAGTGAATTGTCACAATCATCTTTGAAAAGTCTTCTCTCTTTAACTCTGTCAAGAACCATAGGAAGGCATGTTGACTAGTACTTATTTGAAGCCTTTTATGTTCTTAAAAAACCCACAAACTTCTTTTATACTCCATTTTTCATCGAGAATACATACGTGCTTTTTTCAGAAGCATTTATAGATCAGATTCCTTTAAACAATCTTCAAGCACATCCTCGTAATCTGGACTTGTATAACTCCGAGGGAGACTTCACTATGCATGAAAATTTTAATCTTCAATCTTCAATCATCAATCTTCATCCTGAATCTTTTCATCAGGATCAGAAAACACACAAACAACAAACATTATAAAACAAACGTCAACTTGTAAGGGTTTAGACTTCATCTTCTTGAAGTCCCCTTTCTTTCACACATATTCATACCAAGATCTTTTCACTTATCTTTTCACTTGGCATGCATCATACACCACACATGAACAAAACATCCCTTCATCAATCTTTTGTTCCTTTGTAGAACCATCTAACAACATCATTATCATCATCAACCCTAGATTCTTTTCATATGGATCTTTTTTCTTTCTTCCTCATGTTTTTTTTTTCATTTCTTTCTCCTCATTGGTCTAGTCTTCAATGCATGCTTTCTCCGTTCCTTTTTAACCGGACATTGATACCACTATGTTGGAGAAAGCCACATGAAGATAGGAGGAAGAAAGGTGGAATTGTTTATACAGAAAGAAAGACAAACATTTTTTTATTAATCAATCACACAAAGATTACATACCCAAGCGCGCGCGCACATATATATATATATATATATATATATATATATATATATATATATATATATATATATATATATATATATAGTACATGACAATTACAATTACATCTGAACCAACACAATGGTTGGTGACCAATCATGATGGTTGATGATTAACCACCAAAAAATAACGGTTATAACACTAACTTCATTCTTAACTGTAATTGCCTTCTTAACAACATTAGTTACTTCTTAAAATTCCTAAACTAACCTAAGTCTAGATTACATTTCAACTGTCACAACCTGGCCTGTAGCATACTCTGCCATAGTTTCATGATCCAACTAAGTAGCTTAATACCACTATAATTTTCGTAGTTTCGACATCACCTTTCCATACACAACAAAAAACGTAACCTTTAGCGACGACAAAAAACGTCTCAATTGAAGTTGGTGGTGACAACGGTGGTGCTGTGGTGGTGGTATTCACCGGAGATTACCTTACTAGCCCAAAAATAATGAAATTAGGGTTAAATATTGATAAGAAAACAAGAGAAAGAGAAAAGGGAAAGAGAAAACGCATGTTACCGGAGGATTATTGTCGCCGGAAAAACTTGGAATTCGCCGGAAAACGCCGGAAATTACCGGAAATGAAGGCCCAGAAGCAATCTATGGTTAGTGGTGGTTTGTGTTGGTGTACTACGTCGGAAAATCGCACCAGAGAACGTTGGTCGTCGAAGTTTTGCGAGAAGGTGGAGACAACGTAGGATCTGGGTCGTTTGGGACGAAGGGGGATTAAAAGGGCGTTACCTTTAGCGGCGACACCGAGACAATAGCAGCGACAAGTTGGAGGGAAAAACACGCGCCTTTCTGTCGTGATTATTAGCCGTCCGATCCAAAAATAATCGAACGGTCACGATGACATTCACACGGATCACCATCAATAGCGGCGACATGTCGTCACAATTGGTGTCGCCTCTAATACCTCCCATGAGATAAAACCCTAACCGATGGATCAGTATAGCAGCGTACGGTTACGATCAAATGGCGTGTGGCACAAGAGGATCGCCGGTGGAAGCCCTTTAGCGACGACCTCTATAGCGACGACAATAACCTTTAGCGGCGACATTATCTGATGTCGCGGCTAAAGGCCAACGTCGTCGCTATAGAGATCGTCGCTAATTAAAGGGATTATTTCTTGTAGCGATAATTCAGATTGCTATGACTTGAGTAAACTGATAAGAAGATTGAATGTGGGTCTTGTATATTTTAAAAGATATAGCTCCAAGATCAAATTAGGTTAAAAAAAATGCTTTATAAAACTCAAAATACCAACGAACAGATGACACATTCTGAATGTGTGTACTTCATGAACCCATAACACAAACAAACAATTAACACAAATAATAGTACCCGATAATATTGAAGTCTCATCAAGGAAAGAGAGAAAGTTAACATGGATCAGGATAATATAACGAAAAAGAGTCCCCAGGTTGCAGCCGAAATTTCATCTCAATGTGTAGCTAAACCAAGCTTAACAGGCTTGCACCCATACTAGCAACCAACTGGGCATTCTGTCGAGACATTTCCAATTGAAACTGAAGCCTCTGGAGCTGCATTTGGGTATCAAGAATACTGTCTGCAACACATTCTTCACAATCCACACAACCTAAATGCGTACCATAATCACATGATTCACAGTAGTAAGTCCAACGATCCTTTTGGACATCCACATGACAAACATCACAGGAGAATGTGTACTCTTCACCTTTCACTGGACATGAGTAATACAGTTTAAGTATGTGCTCATGATCGCTCCTTGTCACTGTTTCAGGCAAGCTTACACACTGGATGTGTAGATCAAATTTACAAATAGAACAGTGATAGGTAAAACCTGTACCATCGCTAAAACATGCATTACAAGTAAATTCACCGTTTTCATTGTTGTAAGGTGCTAATGGGAGGAGAGTTAGAGGGTGTTCCGGGTGTGACTTGTGTTGGATCTGTTGTTTCAGTTGGAAGCATGATTCATGAAGATGAAAGTTGCAATTTGGTTCAGCACATGAATAGCCCTTTCCATCTAGAGTGTCTTCACATCCTGAACATTCGATCTCATTATCTTCATCTTGTAAGTTGACCATACATAAACTGTGAGGGTGACTGAAATGCATGATTCCTTTATGGTTCGATTGGTTTTGACCAGATTCAACATGATTTTCAGGTTGATAATTAGGAGAAGCACCGGGAACAGAAACGGAAGCAGCAATGTTTTGAGCCATGTTAAATTTTTGGTCACTAGTTACGGGATTTAGATTATTGGTAGGAATGGAAACAGAAGAGACATCTACTGGAGGATACTGGGGACTAGTTACTGGATTTTGAAAACTAGTGGGAATGGAAACAGAAGGTCCATTTTGAGGCTTTGAGGAATCTCCTGTGTTATTAACATGATTTGCAGGACTAGGGGGAATAGAAACAGAAGGTCTAGGTTGAGCAATCGAAGGATATTGAGTACCTGTGACAGAATCCTGAGAACTAGTGGGAATGGGAACAGAAGGTCCGGTTTGAGACATGGAAGGATATTGGGCACTGATAACAGGATCTTGAGAACTAACGGGAATGGAAAGAGAAGGTCTGGTTTGAGACATGGAAGGATATTGGGCACTGATAATAGGATCGGCGGGGATAGAAGGCCCAGCTTCAGCCATGGAAGGATACTGGGAACTAGTAATCGGATACTGAGAAGTAGTGGGAATGGAAACTGAATGCCCATTTTGACCCGTGGAATGATATTGCTCGTTAATAATGGGGTTAGGAATAGAAACATAATGCGGATTGGGGTCTATGTAATGATTCTGAGAAGCTGTGAGTGGATGTTGATGAAGATTATCGGGAACAGAAACATAGGAGACATTGTGAGCCGTAGTTGGTGGAACTAGTTCTTGGTGATGAGGATCGTAATAATTTGTAGGATAGTGATGAGCTTTCTGGAAACTGGTAGCTCTTGAAATGGAATAAGCGCATTGAACATGAAGGTCAAACTCACAATGAGCACAGGAATAAGATAACCCAGTTCCGATAATTTCACAGGAATTGCAGTAGAAGGAATTAGAAGGGTAAGTAGGGTAAGGAACCAAGGTGAGAGGATGAGGAGGGTGTGATGGGTGTTTCAAAGATCGTGTCGCCCTGTAGCATTGCTCGTGTAGGAAGAAGTTGCATTGCCAACAAATGTACACAGTGCCGTCGCCGGAAGAGTTGCAACCGGAGCAGGAGACATCGACACCTTCAGGCAGTTGGTGCATGATCAGGTTGTGCGAGTGGCTGAAATGCTTGTACCCCTGCTCCATCTTTTTCTTTTTTCTTTCTCCCTGCACGTCCTTGTGGGTGCGATGGAGAAGAAACTATATAAAGATAGTTTAATAGAAGTTGTGGTGCAAGTGGCCATGGAATTAGTCAGATTATGCCAGCTTTTTCCTAGTAGATCGATATTCTTCTTGTCTAGAAGTTGACTATATATAATCTTATGATTTTTTTATTATAATTTTTTTTGGTGAGCGACGACCGATAAAGTAAGTAAACTGATCAAAAGACACCGGGTAAGTCTGGTTCCTGAATGATAATGTTACGGTATCAATTAAATGTCCATTAGGCTATCCGGTATGGAGAGATGCTTACGTGGAGGGCCTCTCCACACGTGAACACCGCACCCATTAATGGTGGGTTGGTTGTGGGGTGAAGACGAGGACGGACGAAGATGAAGAAAGGGATTGGCTGGCCAAATTTTTTGACCGTTGAAAAGCATTTAATAAAAAAAATGTTTTTTATTTTTAATTTACTCTCTCTATATATACATCCATTTTACATATATTTTTTAAAACAAACACACAAACTCTTTAAAATCAAACACACACATTCAACAAAAAAATGGATGACGAGTTGGTTTTGCACAGACTATTGTTTGCGGCACAAAACATGATTAGTGAGAGAGACAAAAGTTCACACGGCGAGAAGAAGCATAAAAAATGGATCAACCGGGATCGAGAGGCGGCAAATGAACTTTTGGTACGTGATTATTTTGTCCCTGATAGTTTATATGATCTATCGAAATTTGAAGAACGTTTTCGTATTAGTAGAAATTTATTCTTACGTATAACTAGAGATTTGGAACGTAATTATGAGTTTTTCCAATTACGATGGGATGCTAGAGGTAAACGTGGTTTTACTACAATACAAAAATGTACGGCCGCTCTTAGACAATTGGCATATGGCATAACCGCATACGCATTAAATGAGTATTTGAAAATGTCTGAGAGGACGGGTCGAGAATGTACATATCTTTTCTGTGAGTATGTTATAGAGCTTTACCGTGACATATACTTGCAACATCCGACTAAAAGTGATGTCGAACAGTTGTATGTCGTGCATCAAGCTAAACATGGTTTTCCAGGGATGCTTGGTAGTATTGATTGTACACATTGGGAGTAGACAAATTGTCCCAATGCGTGGCGCGGTCAATTCACGCGAGGTGATCATGGGGTCCCGACTGTTATATTAGAGGCGGTTGTTTCACAAGACCTATGGTTTTAACATGCATTCTTTGGTATGGTGGGGTCCAACAATGACCTGAATGTGCTTCAAGTGTCTCCGTTATTTAACAATATTTTGCAGGGTAAAGCACCAGACATGTCATACGTTGTGAATGGAAATGAATATAAGTATGGGTATTACCTAGCTAATGAGATAATCCAGAGTATGCTACATTTGTCAAGTCATATTCATTTCCAGCCGATGAAAAACGAAAATTGTTCAAGATAACACTAGAATCTGCACGGAAGGATGTGGAACGAGCGTTTGGAGTCCTAAAACAAAAGTGACACATAATCAAACATCCAGCACGAACATGGGATAGGGCAAAACTAACGACGGTGTTGACTGCTTGTGTTATTTTACATAACATGATAATAGAAGAAGAGGGCAGAGCTATTTGTTCATATACCGAGAACGATATACTTAATCCACCTATAGTAATACAAGTTGACAGCCCGACATACTTCTCTACGGTTTTGGAAAAACAAAATCGTGAAACACATCACAATCTATGTCACGATTTGACCGAGCACATATGGGGAAAGACAACTCCAAGGGGGAAATGACAATGAAGACGAAGAGGATGAGGGCGATGACGACGAGGCGAATGCATACAGTGACGACGAGGCGGATGAGGGCGATGAGGACGGTGACGACGACGAGTAGTATTTGTCTATGGTTTTTATGTTTTAAGTTTTTATGTTTTTTAATTAAGTAGTGTAATGTTTTATTTGCTATGTTTTATGTTTATTTTAGTAATTTAGGTTTTAAATTTTTATGTTTTTAATTAATGAAATGTGGTTTTTTTTTTTCAAAAAAAAATTATTTATGTTATAAATTATGTTTTTTATTTAATATAATGTTACAAAAAAAATATAAAAAATCGATTTATGTTATAAATTATGTTTTTTATTTAATATAATGTTACAAAAAATAAAAAAAAATAAAAAAAGGAATGTTGTTAGTGGTGACCATTTCCTATGTCTAGTGGGTTGGTGGTGAAGCTGACGTGGCGCATATGTGACACCATTTTTTCGGTGGGTTGGTGGTGACCACTCACCACAACCTTATTCTAAGGCTGGTGGGTGTGGGCAACATGTTATTACCCCCAAAAGTTGTTAACTCACCATCCTAGTCATATATGGTGTTATAACACTAAGTATGAAAATAGGTAACACCAAATAACATGTTATAACATCCCTTATTTTCTTTTTCTTATTTATTTATTTTTTTGATTTTTTTTTAATTTCTATTTTTCCAATTTTTTTTATTTATGTCACAATATTTATAAAAAAACATTTAAATTAATAACATATGTAATTTAATTAAATCTAAATTAAAAATAACATTTAAAAATTAAAAATGATATTACAAAAAAAACATTGAACAAAAAAAATACGATAGTCCTAAATTAAAAAAACATAAAAATATTAGCACAACCATTTCTTCTTGATCTGCTCCATCTTTCAGAGCAGTTGTGCTTGTCTCAGTTCCATATTTTACTCGCTAGTGCCAAGAATTGCCTAATCCTTCGTCATTCGATCTTGCTCGGCTTCCTGACGAAGGAACTCCAAATGCTCACGTAGCAATTCATATCTTTTATTTGTGATTGCGGTGCTGGCATCAAATTTCACTTTCATTTCCGCGTGCTCTCGAAGCCTACTTTCACTTTCATCTGCATGTCGTTGAACGCGCTTTGCTTTGTTACGCCCTATCGGTCATCGTGGCAAGGAGATTTCTTCGATGTCGTTGAGCTCGTCCGAGAGCTCATCGGTGTCGGCGTTGAGGTCGATGTTCGTGCGTGCGTCGGAAATGTCAACCGAACCCGAACTACAAGACCTCTTTGATTGTTGTTCTGATGATGTTGGCGTTTAAATCCATTTTGGGTCCTGCCTCACAATCTCCCAAATTTTTTCGTGCTCGAAAACGTGACCCATTTGCACATGATATTCCCCCCTCACGACTCTAAAAAACATCGAAACCATTGACACCACTTTGCTTGTGCGAAAAAAGTTTTTTGTAAATGGAATTGAACTTGGTGCACTTGCGACTTATTTGAGTCAACTTGCTACTAAGCATATAGTGATTGCGGTCTGTGTCGTCCTTCTTCAAAATGATGCGAAATTTGTCGATCACAACTTCCCAAAAAGCAACTCTCCTCATATCATTTCCCAAAATTGGGTTTTTTGATGTCTCGCACCACGATACCACCAATGCATTCTCTTCCTCCGGTGTCCACCATGTTGGAGGTTCTTCCATTTTCTCCACCTCGATCGCGAACTCTTTCCCTTTCTTTTTTACGTTACTTTTTTGCTCGTTGGTTTCCGACTACCCCCCGCTTGCGTCTCGACAACCATTCCTTGCGTGGGTGGTGGTTGTGTGGTTGTTTGTAGCATGGAAGCAAAGGTGTTGAAAATGTTTTGTGGAAGGTTTGTATTTTGTTGCATATAAGGAGATGTAGGGAAGTGGGGGTGAGGCGGGATTGAAAAAGTTGCCGGAAAATGGTAATTATGGTGAGCTTTGCGAGTTGAATAGGTTCACGTAGCCCTCATATTGCGCAAAATCGAATGGAGCATATGTGTTTGTGTTTGGAGTAGGAGTGTTCGGGTTTTGATCCATTGTTGGTTGAATGTGAATTTGGTTGAGTTGTGTGTGAAAAATGAAATGAATAAGATGAAAGAAATAAAGGTATTGTGTAGGTAAAAAATAAAGTGAATATGTGTATTTAACTAAAATTGAATATATATATATATATATATATATATATATATATATATATATATATATATATTATATTACATTTTGACCGTTGATGAACGGTCTCATTTTCGACCGTTTGAAAATTTGCAAGCCAAATAAACCCCCTTGCCTTCCGTTGCCACGAAAACGCCTCATGCCACAACGGCTAAAAATGCCCAAGGGGGCGGTGTTCTGACATTATGCCAACGTTTTTTCAATGCCATGTCACAATAATGCAAGCCCCTGTTGCCCGTACCCATAAGCCTTAGAAAACAATGAAGAACCGAAAACCATAAATGAAAGTTTATACAAAGCCATATATGTCTAATACAAAAAAAAGGATCCAAAGTTTCGTAAGATATTTTTAAAGTGAGGGTGTGTTAGGTTATGGAACAAGACCAGACCAGAACTAGAAGATCCGAAAACCAGAAATGAGGTATTATTGGAACCGAAAACAAACCGGTATAAAGGAACCGATTTCGGGTATGCGACCGGGTAAATTAGGTTTGGAACCAGTGAGTACCAAAATTTGTTAAATTCTTGATTTGGAACCAGTTTAGAACTGGAAATAACCGAAAAACCCAAAAATCGAGACTAATTTAGCACATAAAACATGAAAAAGGGCTGTTTGGCACTTCTATATACATGAAGGGGCTGTTTCGTAAAATCTGAATGCAATGCATTTTACTTCATCACTTGGAAGGAAGTCCAGAATATATATATATATATATATATATATATATATATATATATATATATATATATATGTTCAAATATTCTAACTAATTATTATTATGTGGACGTAGGAATAATTGTGGGTCAATCATTTCAAAAATCAGATTAGGGGTATAATAGTAATCTTGCTACACTTAATTATGGTAAATATTTATAACATTTAATAATTTAATACCTGTTTAAATTGGGGGAATTAGTTTCAGAACCTAAAAACTCATAGATCTCTTGTTACCACAAACATACGCAGAAATACTAAAACCCAAATCGACGGGAAGCAAATCAGTTGTTGTTTCGAACCCCAATATGCTCGGTGTTCGTTCTCGTACTTCGAAAATCCTAGAGAGTGAATTGCTTCAAATCCCTTCTCCTAAATTAGCTGGTCCAATCTCTGAATTTGAGCCAATGGATTCTGGCAACGAATTCGAACTTCCACCGCCGTTTACAGATGCCAACACCAGGTCTCTTTCTTCGTCGTAATGTTTGCGATCAGTTTATTTAATTTTTTTGTTGTCTGATTGAATCACATAGCCGCCATCTAATCGGACCTCATCTCTTTATTCTCCGGTAAACACCCACCGTTTTAGAAAATGAATTCTAAATTTTTGGTGCAGAAGATATAATTGTTCGTTGTTTTGTTGGATTATGTTCGAGATTTAACCTCCGATTTGCCTTCAATGGTGATTTTGTGCTTTAAGGAGCTCTACCTTCTGTTAACATCTGTTAACAGGTCGAAAATTCTAATTGACTATTGTGCTCAATCTAGTAAATTATGGCTGTTGTTTTAGAATATTTCGGTTTCTGGCCATTTTCATGATCTCAGTCAAGAATTCTCAATGCTTTTAGATGTTATCCCTTTGCACAAATTGAGTACTTTATCCAATAATGTTAAAGAGCAATTAGCTTTGTTATAAAAACAATCAAGAAATGCTAAATTGTTCATAGAGAAACATGATGATGCAGGAAATTCTATAGCATCAAAGACATTTATGAAGGATTATATGTAATGGATCTCTTTGATCATGTAGACCAAGTGCTCAACGAAATGCTCAGCCTACAGGAAACCCTCGAATCCACAGTTAAACAGTTGTTCAACTGGAAAGAAACAAAGATTGATTGCATCAGATCTAAAGTATATTTTTCTGATCTATGGTTCTTTTGTTGGTAATTATTTCAAGGTATGTTGTTTACAAATAAGTCTATTTTTTCCTAAGATTTCTATAATTTGTTTCACATCATATGACTTTTTATGATACAGGAAGGTTTATCGCCAATTAACTTAGTAAACTGAAATGCATCGTGCAACCCTTGCTGGAAGGTTTTTTTGATACTAAAACCATTCTATCATAAAGTTGATTATGTTTTCTTTATGGTTTTGGCTTTGAAAAGGTTACCATTGATGTTGGAAAAGAAACTAGGTTAATGAAATATTGGAAACCAAACTAGGTCAACGAAATGTTGAAAACCAATTCTATCATTCACATCGGATGGGGAATACATAGTGCCAACATATGATAAGTAGCAACAATATTCTGTTATCAAGATATTCTGTCAGAATAGATTAACAATAATATTCTATCAGATTGTATTACTGTTTTACTTAGATTTCAATGTTTTTTTAACGATTCTCAATTTTATTCTTTAAGAAAAAATGTAATTGTTAATCATTATTAGTCGTATTCTTTTAGAATAGATATAATTTATGTCTATAGTTGTATTCTTTCAGAATATATGTAATTACTGATTCTAGTAATCTTTATAAGATAAGAATAAAATGGTTTTTTCAAGATAACCATAAACACATTCTGTTAGATTGTCCGAAATAATAAAAAAATCAGATTTTTAAATTTAAGAGAATTAATTATTCCATAAAATCCATAATTTTCCGTTTTTAAATTTATGTTAATTGACTAAAATACCCTTACATTAAATTTAGATGGTATTTTTCAATCATCTTTAATTCAATAATATTTATTAATCACTTTATTAAAATAACTAAAATGATTGGTTTACAATTAATCCTACATTTACACAATAAATAGTTAGAGCACAATAACCTAGGCCTATATATATATATATATATATATATATATATATATATATATATATATATATATATATATATATATATATAAGCTTAGGTTATTCTATTCAAAGTAATTATTGTGTTATTGTATTCATAAATGTGGGCCAATCAATTTTACTTATTTTAAGAAAGTGAATAATACATATTATTAAATTAAAGATAATTAGAAAATACCATCTAATTTCATTTTAAGGATATTTTAGTCAATTAATATAAATTTAAAAAAGGAAAATTGCATATTTTAAGGGATAATAGATTCTATTAATTTTAAAAATCTGATTGTAGTGATGATGATTCTCGGATATTCTGCGAGAATATATTTATCAAAAATAAAAATATTCTTGAACCATAAATAATAAATATATTTTTGAACCTATTTCTTGATCATAACGTTAAAAACTTCTTGAAGAATAATAAATTCTTGAACCATCAATTGAAGAATAAAAACAAACATTACATTAATTCTTATAGAATACGGGTAACAATTGCTAAGAATTACATTTATTATTAAAGAATAAAACTAAAAAAACTTTCAAATCAGGAAAAAAAAATCAAAATCTAACCTAGACACTAATACATTCTAAAAGAATAATGTTGATAAGAATCACTTTCAATTTCATGGTCCATTCTTCAAGCATAGCTGCTTCTGTGGAAACAAATCCAATGCACAAATCAGTGAGAAAATATCCATATTTCATTCCAACAGAATTGGAATTCGTGATTCCATTATGATAGAATTGGAATTCAAGATTCAGTTACGGTATGCATTCTGTTGGAAAACTATCCAAAGTAAAAAACAATTTAATGAGAATGATACTGTTAGACATTCCAAGATAGAAACTCGTTCATTTTCATCAGCAACATCTAACTCTCCAAGTTCAGAAATTAGTTGATTTCGGCTCTCAACCATCTGTAGAAGTAAAATCCCAATTTAAGGTGATGTTTGTTTTTTATACTAATGACGAAAATATCCCTACAACACAATATTCATAAAATTCATAGAATTCGCCATTGTTTTGAAACATAGCCATTGTTCTAAGCCTGTAACATAGCCATTGTTTTGAAACCCAAATATTTTTCCAACACAATATTCATAAAATTCATAGTTTCATAACTACATTTATAAATGCTCTTCCAGTTTAAAGTCAATACCATATTAAAGTCAATACCATATTCAATCAGTAAGAATTGACAACAAAGTTTGAAACCCAAACCATCTATTCTTTCCCTGTTTCAACATCATTAGCATGGAGAATAGATTCAGCAAACCCAGAAACTAAAAGAACCACATTTGAAGCTGGTCATGATGGTTTTATCCATATCATTCCTAAAATCAAAAGAGAATCAAGAAAGTCAATTTATATGTTATATATATATATATATATATATATATATATATATATATATATATATATATATAGTTTATCTAACAGGAAACAAAAAAGAAGAGTAGGAATACAATCTGGTCATGATGGTGGATATTGTGCACGTCAACAAGAAATCGAGAAAGAGAAAAAGGGGGAAATTTCTTAGACATTTCGTTGAATGCTTCTTCTGCACCTTCGACTCCTTCGCTGTTTATACACTGAAATTCCCCTCAAATCATCATTCCCAACAATGGGTTTCATCACATGAACCCATCTTCGTCGAGTTCGCCTTGGTCTTTATCTGGGTCATTCCCCAATCATCATCATCACCGTGGTAGTCCTCGTCCGGCTTCTTACGCTGCTGTGGTAAACGGTGGTGGTTCTTCTGCTTCGTCGTTTTACAATAATTTTAACGATCCCACCGAGTATAGTACTAACAATGGACTGCAAAAAACTGTGATAGTGAAATTAGGGTAGAAGGAAATTGGCATACCTGTGGAGTGCTAGTACTGATTGCAAAAAACGGTGGTTGGAAGACTCACCTTCATCGGTGGTTGGGACGAATTCGGTGAATTAGACGCCGATTGAGGGTGGAGATGTTTTACCGGCGGCCATAACAGCGAATGGCGGCTGGAGATCGGCGGCAACAGCAAACGATGGTGGTGGCGATCTTCTGTGGGCGTTGGTCGATGGAGTGACTTCTAGGTTTTATAAACCTGCAGAAATTAGGTTAAAAGTCAATACCATGATTATAGAGATTATTTTTGGAAGTTACTAAGCAAATTACTAAATTACCCTTATTTATTTATTTAATTATTTAATTTTTTATTTAATTTTGATTGGTCCACATTTAAGCATACAATAATACAATAATTATTTTAAATACCTGAACCTAGCTCTCTCTCTCTCTCTCTCTCTCTCTCTCTCTCTCTCTCTCTCTCTCTCTATATATATATATATATATATATATATATATATATATATATATATATATATATATATACACACACACACACACACACACACTAGTGGTATACCCGCTTTTTTTTTTTTGAACATCGAGCTATTTTGAAGATTGAAGGGAATCTTAAACCGTGAGTGTGCTTTCTCCCTCCTGACATGTTATTAGCCGCATCACCCGACGTAGCTTTTGACTAATAAAGCTCTGCACAGAAACGTATTTCAAGTTCCACCAGGACCATCAATGAAGAACACACTCAGAATGTTTTCATCCATGTGCCTCATTATTTTATCATATTCAAATTTCCGGTTAGGATTGAGAGATTCTTTTGCACGTAAGTCTTTGTTTTACACAAGTATCGAGTACTATTCTTACACCTCATGACAACCTCTTGCTTGTAAATTAATGTCTTCACTACAAGAAAACAGCCCTTTAATGACACGCGAACAATGACACGCACTGATTTACGATACACATTTTTTGTGTGTCCTAAAAATATTGTCAGCTTTCCAAAATTTGAAGGATAGAGGACACGCATTTATGCGTGCCCTAAAATTAATGTCCAAAAAAAATGGAGGGTGCTTATGTTAAATGTGTGTCCTCTACAAATGTTGTTTTATAATTTTTTAGGTAAACGCACGTTTTTAAAGGGGGGAAATGAAATCCTTTGAAATTCTAAAATTTTGAGGTACCCGCTTATGCACTCTCTCTTCTAGAGCTCCCTTCATTCTCTCCCTCCCTTCTCTCTGCAAACCCTAAGCCATCGCCACCTCCCTTCTTTATGCATATTCTAGGGTTTTATTTTCTTCTAAGCTTCCGCTTCTCTTGTTTTCTCTCAACCCAGTACATGCAAGGGTTTTTGGTGGTGATCGACCGGTGGTGAAACGATTCAGGCCTCGCTCCCTCTCAAACAGTTGCTTCTCATCAGATTGCCCTACCACAATTCAGTGCAAAAAAAGGAAGCGACTCTCCGTTTTCTTATAAACTTATTTCCTTTAACAATCATCGCATGGAACTTGGAATCTTCCTCCGATTCTACACCTCAAGCAAGGAATATTGATTTCCTAGTGCATAGCGTTCTTCGGTCGTTGTATTTCTCCGAAGATCTATACGTTGAGTTATTTCCCCGACCCTCTGTAGTTTTAATGATTTTTTCCTGTTCTTGATTGATGTTTGTGTTGTTTCTACCATGAATGGAACCAATTTTTCATAAATTCACCTTCTTGTTTAGTTTTTCTGAATTCTTATCGAGTAATGAACCATTTCTATTGATTTTTCTTCTCCTGAAACCCTAGAAGGTTTGGTTTTATTGGATTGATGTTTATAGCACTTTAGGGTTTTACCTGCTCATTTAATTTATTGACTCATCTGTGGGATTGTGATTTGTCGTTGCAATTGGTGGATGAATGATGTAAGAAAGTTTAGCTACTTTGATTTGGTTGTACCATGAAAGTTTCATGAAGAGTTTCTAGGGTATTTTGTTTAGCTTTCTTCTTTTTTGTTTGAAGTTTGATAATTTATTGGTGGACTTACAGGTAATTGAGCATTTGTTCTGAGAGAGATGTCTGTTGGGTTGGGGGTTCTCTTTTTCTGCCACCAAGTGTTTGATTAAATTCCCCTGAGAGCATTCATAGCAAAACTATTGGGATGTTGATACAAAAATTGAGATATAGGAGTTGAGTGGAAAAATATGGAGAATCCGGTTCTAAGGATGTCAATGGGAGCAGGTAATTAGAAAAAATGTGTGTGAATCAAAACAACTGAACCTATAGCCCTAGAGTTTAATATTTTTAATATGTATGATATAATCCTTAGCTTTTATGGGGTTAATATTGCTAATGATGGATAAAATTATTCTATATCTATATGATCTCTCTTTTTTCTTGAATATAATCTCATTGGTGTGCAATCCGGTCACTTGCTTGGAGTAAAATGGGTGGTATGATATTCTTGAAAATTTCATCTTTCTAACATTTGGAGAAGAGAATAGATGTTCATGTGCTAATTTGAATTTTTAAATTTCGAATTGGGCTACTAAATATTAAATTGTTTGTTTTGATAGTGCAAGAGCCTCATAGTAGGCTCATGTCTATATGCTTCTGGACATGTTGAAATTGCTTACTGATGATATAATATGAGATTATAGTGCGGATATAATTTTTTTTGAAATCTTGTAGGGTTTTACGCACCCTGTGCACTCTTATTTTCTTGAAGATGTGGAAACAACCGGATACATATTGACAGCAAAAAATCAAATCGATGATTATGGTCAAGAAAGAACAAGGAAATCAAATAAAAAATTTATAAGAAAAAGGAAAAGCCAAATTGCCTCAGCTGTTGAGGAGGCACTGGGGTATACTGACTTTAGAGGCTATAGTCCATAGACACGGGATTCTATGTCATGTTGGAATCCTGATTGCATGAATGCATCGGATTCAATCTCATTGAGTTTCTACTATTGAGTATATGTGGGAGTGAAAAGCAAGGGGTAGTTTTGGTATTTATGATTGGGTGGGATGACATAAGTTCTTTGAAGGAAAATTTACAAGCAAATCATCTTTTGAGGGATTCAAATCTAGTTTTATCGCTTTTATGTCATGGATCTATGGCCAGCTTAGAACAGGTAGAGACTAATATCATTATTTGAAAAAAAAAACTAAACTTTTTTAATCTTTATTTATTTTATCTTCTTCATGTAGAGACAAATATTTGAAAACACAGAAAATGGGGTGAGAAAGATGGTTTTTGCTACAAATATGGCTAAAACAAGTATCACAATAGACGATGTTGTTTTTGTTATTAATTATGGAAAAGCCAAAGAAACATCATATGATGCTTTGAATAATACCCATTGTCTCCTTCCTACTTGGATATCAAAAGTTTCTGCTAAACAAGTGAGTTTCTTGGGTAGGGTATTTTGGTAATTTTATATTTTCTATATCATTCGATTATATTGTTTTTGATATGATTAACAGAGGCGAGGTCGAGCAGGGCGTGTTCAGCCAGGAGAATGTTACCATTTATACCCTTGATGTGTCTTCAATGCTTTCCAGAATATCAGTTGCCAGAAATACTGAGAACACCTCTTTAGTCACTTTGTCTTCAAATAAAAACTTTAAAACTTGGAAGTTTTTCTGAATTCTTATCTAAAGCTCTTCCATCACCAGAGTTATTAGCAGTAATTCGCTACCTCATTTTTCAATGGGTCTTTTTGTACAGCTGGCAGAGGCGGCGAAAGCGCAATTTTCACGAGATCATAGTGACTATTTTGCCCTTGTGAGGGCGTATGAGGGTTGGAAAGTGGCTGAACAAGCACTTAGTAGATATGAATACTGTTGGAAGAATTTTCTGTCTGCTCAGTCCATGAAATCTATTGATTCATTGAGAAGAGAGTTTTTATCTTTGCTTAAAGATACTAGTGTTGTCAAGAGCAATATGGTCATTTTCAATGCTTGGAATTATGACGAAAATCTCATTCGTGTAGTTATCTGCTACGGCTTGTATCCCGGAATTTCCTCCATCGTCGTAAGTTTTGTTTTTAAATAAGTTCTTTATAAATAATAACTCGCTTTTGCTGACATCAGCATAATGAAAAGTCATTCTCACTGAAAACCGTGGAGGATGGTCAGGTGCTTTTACACTCGGTAAGTTCGTTTGTCTAAATTCTAATAGTTTTTCTTTAATCTGAATTTGTTTTTTTAATGCTATTGAACTCGGTTAATTCCCGGGATTTGAGAATTCCATTCCGGTGGTTGGTCTTTAATGAGAAGATCAAAGTGAACTCTGTTTTTCTCCGGGATACGAATGTTGTTTCCGATTCCGTTCTGCTACTGTCTGGTGGAAGCATCTCAAAAGGCGATATAGTGAGTCTATTACCTTTCCTCATTCCATTACCTTTTCTTACTCTATTCCTTTATGATTCCATTCCATGATATGAAACAGGATGGGCACTTGAAAATGTTGGGAGGATACTTGGAGTTCTTCATGGAACCTTCATTAGCTGAAATGTATCTCAACTTAAGAAAAGATCTCGATGAGTTATTCAAGTATAAAGTAAGTAATGTATCCTCTCTTACTCATTATTTTTTACTTTTAGTCCTCCAATAATTGACTTTTTTCAAAAAAATTGCATGTCAGCTATTGAATCCCAAATGGATTTACACACCCACCAGGGTGTTTGATTCCTGCGTGTTCTGGATATTGATATTAATTGTGTGCTTAACATAATATATTGTCAAGAGTTATGCAACTGATATCATCTTAACTTTGCTGATTGTAACTTCCTTTGGTTTTCACATATTATCTTTGAATCAAGTTCCTCCTTGAGTTTTGCTAATTTTAGGTAAGATGGCAAACCAACAATATTCGTGTTATTCGGTTTTATGGTATTTCTTCATGATCTGTGACTCTGTGTTGTTGGTTTTATTCGGTTTGCTATGTATTGTTCCTAATCCTAATATTGAGATGAGTTGAACTCAGACGCCCTTTAGTCATCAAGAATTATCAGCTATCATTTAGTGTTTGGGTTTTTTAATCACTAAAATTGCTCATAAAGTGGTAAATGTCGACAAATAAGGTTGGAGTTCATGAAATACTAAGCCTTGCAATGTTGTTTTACTTATAATCTTTTCTAAAATTTTGTGAATAACAATCTCATTTTTATTTTCATTTTAGATCGACTACCTTCATAGGACTGGAAGAATCGCTCGCATGGGTGCCAAAGGCAAATTTCGTCATTTTTTCATGGTAAAGTTTCAGGTTAAAATTACCTAGCTATCCTTCTTGTATGATTTCAATCCTTAAATTCTATTTATTAAAAAGAAATGCAGGAATCTGACTTCTCATATGAAGAGACGGTAGCAACAGGCAAAAACTACAACACCGTAAATCAAAAGTCAACAATCTCTTAGAGATCTGAAAGACACATAACGAACTAGAGGCGGACATATCTTCTAAACTTGGAGAGTTGGAGAGAAACTACAATTAAACATGTAGGTCATTGAATTGGAAAGATCAAGGACCAAAGGGACTATATGTAGGGTTGGTTGGGTCTCTTGTTTCAACTGTTGCATTTGTGTTAGGTAAATGGGTCTGAATACATGTCTCAATTAGAGATAGTATATTCTTAGGGGAATTGATAAGATATGATGAAATAGTTAATGTATTACATTTATTTAAGCATTGGAATGATTATTATTATTTGACATACTATATATTTTGAAATGGATTGTCTTTTTTTTTTGTATGATATGCTATTTCATATTATGAGAAATTACTTGTCATTTAATTTGAAAATTAGTAAATCTATATAAAAAGGCTATTTTTTTAAAACATTTAAAATTATGACACGCAAAAATGTATGTCGTCTTTCTTTATGACATGGGCTTTAATGATACACAATGCGTGTCCTAAACGCACACCCTAAGGTTAAGACACGCAAATGCGTGTCGTCGTCCTTTATGACAGTTACTTCCTTGACATGCAATGCGTGTCGTAAATGCGCATCATAAGTTTACGATACGCAAAAGCGTGTCGTCTTCCTTTATGACATGACCTTCCTTGACACGCATTTGCGTGTCATCTGTACCATTTTATGACACGCAATGCGTGCCATTAAAGGGTATTTTTCTAGTAGTGCTTTATTCACATCTGGAAGATCGTATTCACTAAGTTTCTTTCCTAAAGATTGTAGAAAGACTCTGATGTTGACAAGGACCATATTCTGGACTCATTCAGAACACACATATTGTTTCTTATAATCTTCAGAAAAAGAATCATAATGGTCACACCATAACTTACAAACATCGCCCAGTTCACAAAAAATCAATATCGTAACAAATAGCCTTCTAAGTGCATTGGGGAATTGAAATAAGGAAGCCTCTGCAAGACATTATATGAGTTGGATATATTGTGTAAACAATGTTGAAGTTCATGTTTGGTTTGATTAATTGTTTGAAGGGGTTGTGTGTACTTAATCAAAGTTAGGGACCACGACTCGTTTAACTAATAGTTAAAGAAAGCAAATTCCTAGAATGGTACGGGTTTCTAGATATGGTTCGGGTTTACATCAGACTTGAACAAGTGTCTTGACATGTTCTATATAATGCTTGCAGATACTCATTTGGGTTATTCAGAACAAGTAAAACTATAATAATCCCACAACTTAACTTAAGATGAAACTATAATAATAATAACATACATTAAAAAACATATTTTTTAAATACATTAAAGCAACATACTTTTTTTTTAAAAAACAATATCAAGAAAACTAAGTTAAAAACTATAATATAAAACATTTACAACTATAACAAGCCCCTAAAGGGCAATGTCCATTATTATGTACCCACCCAATCACGTTGAGCTATGAGGTTACACCATCTTGATATATCTTTACTCTTGTCACTATATAAAACATTTACAACTATAACAAGCCCCTAAAGGGCAATGTCCATTATTATGTACCCACCCAATCACGTTGAGCTATGAGGTTACACCATCTTGATATATCTTTACTCTTGTCACTATTTTGCCTATTAAGATTAAAGAGTTAGGAATGAATATTTTTTGGATTTCATCATAAGTAGGCCTGGCAATTGGGTTGGGTTCGGGTTGGCGGGTTGGCGGGTCGGAAAACATAAACTCAACTCAACCCATATAATATATGGGTTGGCGGGTCACGGGTGGGTGAGTTGGAAACCTCAACCCAACCCAACCCATATAACCCGTTTAAGTATATGGGTCCGCGGGTTCACAAGTTAATGGGTTAAACCCAACCCATATAACCCGTTTAATAAATAAGCAACACATTTTAGAAAATGAGGTTTTTTCAACATAAATTCATAAAATGATTAAAGTAATTAACATAAAAAAAAGGTTTTGAACATATATTCATGAAGTCAATAACATCCAAATAAAAATGAAAAATGAAAACATTCATAGAAAGTGGATGTGTTCTTACTTCATGACTCGTGAAAATAACGACATGTATTTTTTCTTTTTTGATTAACGAACCGCAAATGCAAATTAGTCATATACGAATACGGAATGAATACAATAATACAGAATATTACGAATACGGATGGAAATCAAATTTCATTAATAATTAAATATATCATTTTTTTAAATGTAATATATATATATATATATATATATATATATATATATATATATATATATATATATATATACGGGTTGGCGGGTTGACCCGCGAACCCAAACAGATAACCCAACCCAACCCAACCCATGAAATAAACGGGCTGGTGGGTTGACGGGTTGGCGGGTCAAAAATCTCAACCCCAACCCGTCTATTTTCGGGTTGGGTCAGTGTCGGGTTACGGGTTGGATCGAGAGTTGCCACCCCTAATCATAAGTATTATTAAATTCCTATATAATACAAACAAACTTTATTATTTCTTTGTGGCGTTTCTATGTATAAGATGAACTTCCATGATAAATTGTATGTTGATGTTTTTCTTTATATTTTTATTTGAATTAGAGTGGCATATATAGGAGGCGGTCGTAAATAAGATGAGTTATTTACGACCGCCTCCTATATCCTCCAATATTATCGAAATGTTCTTTCATGTCATGTTTTTGTTCCTTGTAGGCTCTACTACATCCGACTTCAATTCTATCCCTAACACTTTTCCATAGATTTTTGCCTTGAAAACTATCAAGATCAAACTAATTATGTAAAAACAAATTTGATTAGTATAAGAAATAATTAAAAAATGTTAAATTATATACATATAAAAACTATTGTATACTTTATTCACGAGTAGGATATATAGGGTCTTTATATTGATCAGGAACACGATTCCAACATGGATAATGAAATAGTACCATTGAAATAGGATATATATATATAGGGTCTTTATATTCATCAGGAACGCGATTCCACAACCCATAACGTAACACGATTCCAACATGGATAATGAAATAGTACCATTGAAATAGGATATATATATATAGGGTCTTTATATTCATCAGGAACGCGATTCCACAACCCATAACGTATTCCATGTGTCATTGAATTCTAGGGTTAAAGGCTTTTTTTTAAACTCATCATATAAATTTAGATTTCTTCCTGTGTTACTCGTATTCTTCGATTTCGCTACATTGACACATGGAATTAAAAATTTAACAAATTAAAAATATATTAAATAATAAAAAGATTCAAGTAACTTACAAAATTCGCATGTCAAAAGGTCCTATGTGGACCCTAGCAAGGAGGTTTGTCCCCGTACCTGCTCCACGTTCTCGAGCTACATGTGTTTCCATTTTGTTTACCAAATATTATAAGAAATCAGAATATATAATAAACACACTTTAACCAAATACTATAAGAACTCATAATATATAATAAACATACTTTATAACATGCATCCATTAACGATACAATAAACTTACAATATCTACAAAACAAATCACTAGAAACTTTTCTTATTATTATCATTATCATTGTCATTGTTATCGTTATTTATTTTTGTTACATTCCAAACCACCGTACCAAGATATTGTCCTTTTCGGGACACTCGATACGATGACTTCATAAGGGTCACCTATCCTAGTACTATCCTAGTCCGAGAACGCTTAAGTGTATAGTTCTTATGGGATTTGACGCCCTCAAGACTTTAAAACGCTTCCTGATTGTAACACCCGGTATCCGAAAAGCCAAGAAAGGAAAGGAAAACCCTAAGTCAAAGGGGGGTCAACTTGTCGAGTCCAAGGAAGAACTCGGCGAGTCGGAGCGGGATCCGGGTGTAAGATTAAATGACCGACTCGACGAATCGGAAGAGTGGACTCGGCGAGTCAGGTCTGGGTTAGGAAGCCCTAATTCCGGGACTTGGTGCCCTATTTAAGCATCTTATTCTCTTCCCTAGGGTTCATTACAGCCTCTCTCGTCTAGAACCCCAAAACCCTAGCCACCCAACTTCATTTTTGGAGCTTTTGGTGAAGATTAAGGTCCATTGGAGTGAATTTTGAAGGCTTGGGAGAAAGGAGCAAGGAAGGAAGTGTAGATCCAGCCTTCACATCGAGTTGGCAACTGTTAGAAGGTAAAAAGTTTGGACCTTGAGCTTTTAATTGATAAATCCCCTTTCTAGCTTGCTTTTGGTCACATTTGGATCATTTCCAAGGTTAAACCGAGTATTAAACCCTTAAGGATGGTTTGGACAACAGATCTGGACACTCCTGAGCTTTAGAAGCTCAAAGTAGTTGGCTTTATTCAGCTAAGGTCCCATTTCATGACCTAGGTCTTATTTGAAGCTTGGATTAAGTGTTTTAGCCCCATAACACCTTGCATGCACGTAAAGTTAGCAACTTTACGTGCAATGCTAGCATAAGGAGTCCAGATCTATGAGTTGGAGGTGTTTGGATGGTCTGTAATCGACAAAATAGAGATGCCACAAGATGGACTCGGCGAGTCGGGTCGCAAACCCAAACCCTTCTGTTTACGATTCGGATCAGTGAGTGGAGTTAGTAGAGGTTTCAGCCAGACTGGGTCCGTAATGGACATGAAGATCATGGTACTCGACGAGTTCGAAGAGGAACTCGGCGAGTCCAAGACAATCTTCTTAGTTATGAAGATGAACTCGACGAGTTGTTCATACAACTCGGCGAGTCATGGTCTAGACATTCATACGATGATGATGAACTCAACGAGTTCAAGGATGAACTCGGCGAGTCGGTTGAGGATAGTCCCGAAGTGTTAGATGAAGGAGAACTCGTCGGGTTCTCGCTAGACTCGACGAGCGGAGTCGGGGTTGTTTGGGATTTGAGGAGCATGGACTCGACGAGTTGGTAGAACAACTCGGCGAGTCGAGTCAACTGGAAGTTGACTCTGACCGTTGACTTTGACCTTGAGAAGGACCTTGACCAGAGTTGACCTAGTTGACTTCTGGAGGACAGTTAGGCTAATTGTTATTATTGGTATTGGTAGCTCGGGGAGCTAGAGGAGCAGCGGTTCAGAGAGTTGTCAGACAGCAGCCAGAGGGTTATCAGCAGCTTCAGCAGTTTGAGGTGAGTTTCCCTTTGTGTGAATGGGTCTACGGCCACAATGCCGGCCCATGTAGTTATGAGTAGGAAGACCCGAGGGTTAGCCCTAGGCACTGTATGCTAGTATGATATTCAG